ACACTACTCTAGTTATCCTTCAATTGTGCATGGATATTCTGATGCGTCATGGGGCTCAAAAATAGGAAATAGTAAGTTCACTAGTGGATATGTTTTCACTTTGGGTGGAGCTGCTATTACTTGGAAATCCAAAAGACAGACTTGTATTGCATTGTCGTCTATGAAATTAGAACTTTTTGCCCTAGCCTCAGCCGGCGAAGAGGCAGAGTGGATAAAGAATCTGATTATGGATATTCTTTTGACTCGGCTAAAGATTAATTCTTTAAGTCTATTATGTGATAATCAAGTCGTTGTCCAAGTTGTTAAAACTGCTCTCTTTAATTCAAAGAGAAGGCATGAAAGACTGAGACATGCGTTGTTGAATTATCTGAAAAACAAGGAGTTATCACCTTGATTGATGTAAGATCGAAGGATGACTTGGCCGATGCTCTCACAAAAGGTATGCTTAGAGATCGATTATTCAAAACAGTGGGGGAAATGGGGTTAAAGACTATGTAGACAAGTCTTAATTACCATTTACTCTTCTAATTATGTGTTTTGAATTTTCGAATCTTCCTTTTGTTGGCCAAAACGATAAGCATAGTTTATATGTCTCATCGATGTTCATGGTTGCTAACTAATTTGAAAATGGTAAGTTATCTCATTCCAAACTTGATGAAGATAACTTGAACCTAAATCAAAGGTTCTACCTGGAAAACTTGTGTCATTCCAAACTTGATGATACAATCCAACCAAGTTGGACCATCCTTCTGGTTAAATGATCTCATTCCAAACTTGATGCTAGATTATTTAATTTTGAGGAATTAGTAATTGTGACATTCCAAATTAAGACATTGAAATAGTTGTTTGCATAAGAAGCCTGTTGGTCTTGTGATTATTTGAAACTTGAAATCACATGACTAGGTTATTGTAAGTGTTTTAACTATGGGTCCTGTTCATTGAAACTAGACAATGGTTATTCTTTTACAAATAAACTTAAGTTGATGGCTCTTTACAAATCAAACTATTTAGGCCTTGTTCATTACTTATGAAACTAGCTTGATGCTTATTAACATAATATTATGATGTTTTATGACATTAATATATGTTCTTCTTTGTCTGATGATATGATGCTAAGTTCTTTTAGTAGAACTAGACATCTTTGGTAGATTATTCAACTGATTGAATTCATGATAATATGAAATTCATATTTGATATTCTACAGGGGATGGCAGAGATGGAAGAGAGCTTAATGAGTGGGATCCTAGCCAAGATGACCTACTTGAAGAATGAATATATCATTTAGAGTGTGTGGGGACTTGACAGCTCACCCGCTATTGTCCATTTTGATGGAGTCCATTTATTTGAGACTTATATTTTGCTATCTTTATTTTATGAACATTGTTGATTGTGAACTGATTTTGAGACTTTTTTTTGGCAGTTGAGATTTCAATGAGTTTAGATTCTATCTAAATCTCTAAATATTTATTTTAGTATGTTGGTCTCAGAACAAATTCGTGATAATGATGATTTATTTAGATTGAAAATGATGATTGAATTTAATATTTTACCGTTAAAATTGTTTGATTGATCCGAGTTAATTGTCTTGGACTGGATATGAATGATTCATATTTGTTTGAACAGTATATTGATCACTCTATTGGATTGTGCTATACGGTGAACATAGGAGGAGATTGTTGATATATTAAATATATAATCCAATAATATGTTCACATATAAGCCCAATAAGTGAAAGCATTAATCCAATGAAAAGAATTGAATCTCGCATTTTGGCTTTGCAACTTTGTTCACATTTGATGGGTTCCACTAAGAACAGTGCAGGTCAACGTACTATGCACGAAGTAGCAAATTTAGATAATCATGTAATACAGAGAAAAGATGGGGCTGCAGTAAGCCAGTTGAGTTGTGGAAGAAATCTCTTAGAAGGACATAGCTCAATGAATCAGCAGACAGGTAAAGTAAGTTGTAAGGGTGAAAATTTGATTTCTGCAAATGCATTTGAGGAACCCTTTTTAGCTGGAAATGAATCGCTGAATCAGAGTCAGGTGGCATGTCAAAATCTTGGGCTTCATAATAGTGCAGAATGATAAGAAGTTTGGGATGGGAAACAGAGGCGGACCCGAGAGGTGTTAGGGTAGGCGGCCGCTCCCCTCAAAATTTGAATTTTTTTTTTAACATAAGTATAATGCAAGAAACCTCCATTTTTTCTCTCCATTAATGTGAAGTAGTTTTCTCCCACCGCAGAGAGTTTATAGAGCTTCTTTATATTCTCAGGTTTATTTAAGATTATATCACAGTGTTGAGAGTACCAGTGACCACCAATAGAGCTACATGGTTTCTCTTAGTTCAAATTCTTTTAGCTATGTGGCTCTTGTTTGTTGGCACGGACCTGGTGGTAACAATTATCACTAAATTATGTGAAAAAACTTGTTTACAAATTTTTTTTACAAATTACACTAAGTATGACCAGGCATACACTCTTGATTAAAGTATGACGGTCAGACACAGTATAGTTTGTAAGAGTTTCTAAACGAAAAATTTGTAAATATAACATTCCCCTTAAATTATAGTTTAAACCTCGACTTGAAACTAACAATTTCAACTTTTATTATGCTTAGATGTTAGCATAAATCTTCCCATCCATGAATAAAAATAAGAAGTCCGAGAGTCTTATGAAAGAATGAACCTTATTCTTTCAATCCCTCTCCTTTTCTGATGATTGTGACAGAGAGGGAAGTGAGGGGCATAAAGGTTTTGGTGATTGTGCTTCTTGGCAATCTGTCTCTTCTGATTTATCTTTGGCTTTTTTTTCTTGGTGGGCTAACAGTGAGTAAATAGAAAAAGAGGTTAAGAAATGAAAGGGGTCTGCTTTGAATTATCTATTTAGATTATAGTAATTAGTACATTTTTTTGTGAAATCTAAACATTTGCTCTCTTCTCTTTTTCTTTGTTTTCTTTGCATAAAAAATGTTCATTTTAGGGGTTGAAAATGTGTAATTTTTTCAAATTGATAGTAGATTTTACTTTGACATCTTCCACCTCTCTCTCTCTCTCATTCTTTCTCTCTATAACAAGTTAAAAGAGATGTTTATGAGTTATGTTCTCTGGATTGATGTTTCGGCCTCCTACATATTGTGGTTGAAGAGATGAACACATATTTAATTTTTCATATTTTGGCCTCTCATGTATTATGTTTGAAGAGAGAAACAAATATTTAATTTTTAGCCACCCACAAAAAAAATTCTAGATCTGCCACTGAGGGGAAGAACATTTTTGTGGTGTCAAAATGATAAGAAAATTGTAAAAGATGACTTCATATCCAAAGAGATAACGAAATTTGGATAAAGTACATATTTATTTGTTTCTCATAAATGCAATCCTATTGTTACTTCATGTGGATATCATTCTTTTCCTTATATTTTAAAATACTATATATGAGATTGATAGTAATGGTGTGCAAAATAATTAAATAATTATAGATTTTTCTATTTTTCTTTTTTTCCTCTGTGATTTATTTTTCTTATATATTTTTTTAATTATTAATTTTTATTTTATTTTTATTTTTGATTTTTTTAGTAACTATTTTTAACATAGAACTGAATCGTAATCAATTTTGAAAAATTATGAATTCAAAAATATAAACGAATTTAATTCTATAAACTGAATTATATTTTTCAATTCAACTTAATTCGACAAAGATACTGAACTGAATCAGGGATGTATAATTGAGGAAGAAGGCCGATTTCTTGGTGTGTGCAAGCTTGTGCTTGGAACACAACATTCAAAGCTCATATCACGTGCACAAGTTAAAGGTTCTTATACTCTTATGTGACTAACAGAAACAATGGATTACCCTACGTCCCTACCAATAAGAAATAATTTTTTTTTTTATAGAATGACAAATGGAAAGATAAGAGAAACGAGTCCTAGGAAGCGGAAGCATCATAATTACGGGTGGGAAAGGAACTCGGTTTTTTGGCTATCTTACATATTTAAAATTAGTTGTTAAAATTAGATTTGTTTGTATAAAAGTTAATTTAATAAAAAAAAACTTCAGATTTAAATTCAAAAACTCTGCTTTAGAGTTTCTAAAACTGATTTAATATATTAATTTTTATTTGATATTTTTTATATTACTTATAATATCCTTATCTCTTTTCTCAATTCATTTTATCTCATTTTATTAGTTAAACAGACTTTTTCAATAATTTTATTTTATATTATACTATTTAGATATACACTAAATTTATAAATATTTATAAAATTATTAATATTAGTATTGTTGATTGTATATTATGTTTGGATAAATCTTTATTATTTTATTTTTTTAAACAAAGTAACAGACTAAACCAAACTTTTATTTTATTTTTTTTGTAAAAAACTAGAGGATAAACTGATAATTATATTTATAATCATTATATTCATAATAACACATTTAAATATGGGAAAACATTTTCTCCTACTAAAGACACATAGTATAAATAGAGCCTACAAAATAGTAGAGAGAAAAAAAATTCAAAGTGAAACCCATTTATACTATGAATCTTTGGTAAAAAAAAAATTTGTGAAAAATATTTTCCCTTTAAATAGACTTAATTTTTTAAGAATAAAGTTCGGCTAACCCTGGTACTTGTACTAGCTTCCACATAGAGGGTATCCCACTTACGATCTTTTTATTTTTTATTTTTTTTGGTTGCAATCCGACTTACGATCTTTGAATTCTTTTGAGAATATCTAACTTTGGAGCTGGCAAAGAATTGACAGAGATCAATATTTTTTCTGTCTGTCTCTCTCTCTCTCATGTAGCTTCCGTGTTGTTTATCTGCAAAGGAAACAGATGGCGCGAATGGTTTGTATTGGTCAAGCTTTAGGTATGTACCTTTTCACTTTATATCATTATCACTATCACTATAGTCTCCACTCTCCACCCTTTCGATCATCTTAAGATTTCCTTTTACCTCGAGCTTCTGCATGCATAGCGTCTAGCAAGTTTGATTATCATGGCACAACCAGCACCATCTTCTTCTTCTTCTCCTTTTACCTATGATGTCTTTCTGAGCTTTCATGGAAAAGATACTCGCTTTGGATTTACTGGTAATCTTTATGATAAACTCTGTCAAAGGGGAATCCGCACCTTCATTGATGACGTGGAGCTTCCGAGAGGGGATGAAATCACACCATCACTTATCAACGCAATTGAAAACTCGAGGACTGCCATCATAGTCTTCTCTAAGAACTATGCATCTTCCTCTTTTTGCTTAGATGAACTTGTCAACATCATTGCCTGCATCAAAGATAAGGGTCGGTTTGTTTTGCCTGTTTTTTATGACGTGGAGCCCTCTGATGTGAGGCATCAGAGAGGTAGCTATGAAGAAGCACTGGCTCTTCATGAGAAGAGGTTCAAGGATGACACTGACAATAAGGAGAAGCTGCAAAAATGGAGGATGGCTCTGCGTCAAGCAGCTGACTTGTCTGGCCATCATTTGAAACTTGGGTACCTTATATTTAATTTCTTTCAATTTGTCATTATTCTAACTCTAGTAATTCATGCGTTAAAATTTACTTGAACAAGTTAATTCATTGTATATCAAACACTGAAAATTGTAATAATAATAAGTATCTTCAAGACTTATAATATGGGATGCATTTAGAATTGGATGATTTCGTTTGTATTTCTTTGGTTGTACAGGGTTGGGTATGAATATCAGTTTATTGAGAAGATCATTAAAGATGTCTCCAACAAGATTAATCCTGCTCCTTTACATGTTGCGGATTGCCTAGTCGGACTGGAATCTCGAGTGCTGGAAGTAAAGAAGCTTCTGGATATCAGCTCCGACAGAGTTCACATCGTAGGGATCCATGGAATTGGGGGAATAGGGAAAACAACGCTTGCATGGGCAGTTTATGATTCAATTGCTGTCTGTTTTGACAGTGTGTGTTTTCTGGAGCGTGTGAGAGAGAATTCAAATACATATCTCCAAAAGATGCTTCTTTCTAAACTAACTGGAGAGAAGGATATTATATTTACAAGTGCCAGAGAAGGAATTTCGGAAATAAGAAAAAGGTTACGTCAGAAGAAGGTTCTTTTGGTTCTTGATGATGTTAACGCATCAGAGCAGTTGCATGATTTGGTTGGAGAACCTAATTGGTTTGGTCTTGGCAGCAGAGTGATCATTACCACTCGGGACAAACACTTGCTAGCAAGACATGGGGTTGGAAAAACATATGAGGTAGATGAGTTGAATAAGACAGAAGCTCTTGAATTGTTTAGGAGGAATGCTTTCAAAAATAATGTAGTTCCTGGAAGTTTTGAGGATATAATAAACCGTGCAGTAACTTATGCTTCTGGCCTTCCACTGGCTTTGGAAGTAATAGGTTCCAACTTGTTTGGAAAAAGTCTAAAAGAATGGAAGTCTGCATTAGATAGGTATGAAAGGATTCCTAATGAAGAGGTCCAAAAGATACTTAAAGTAAGCTTTGATGCTTTAAAGGAAGATGAGAAGAGTGTTTTTCTTGATATTGCTTGTTGCTTCAAAGGTTATCGACTGATAGAGGTTGAAGATAAATTTCATGCTCATCATGGTGACTGCATGACATATCACATTAGAGAGCTGATTGAAAAGTCTCTCATAAAGATTAGTAAGGATGACAAGGTGACACTACATGACTTGATAGAGGATATGGGTAAAGAAATTGTTCGACAAGAGTCACCGAAAGAGCCTGGGAAACGCAGTAGATTGTGGTTCCATAAAGATATAGTTCAAGTTTTAGAAGGCAATATGGTGAGTAAGATTAGTATGGTTGGTTTGGATTTTCTTCTTCAACCTTTATTTTTATCTTTGAATATTATATGCTCATGATAAATCATTTTGACAGTATCAATTCACAAATTTTCCCTTTATAATAAGTAAATTTCTCTAAATATGTGTGTCGATGTCCTAATATACAAAATATGCGTTTTTGTGGCTGACTGTTGCATTTTGTGTTAAAAAGGGAACGAGTAATATTGAAATTATATATCTGGTGGATTTCCCCAAATATGAAGGAGTGAATTGGAATGGAAATGCCTTCAAGAAGATGACAAATCTAAAAACACTTATTATTAGAAATTGTCATTTTTCGGAAGGTCCTAAACAATTTCCAAATTGTTTGAGAGTGCTGGAATGGTGGGGGTTTACTATACAGTCTTTACCTTCTAATTTTCATCCAAGAAGACTTTCCATATTCAGGTTACCATATAGTTCCTTAATGTCACTCCATTTGGCAAAGTCTCTGAAGGCAAGTATAATTAATCGGTTCTTTCCTGTGAAATTGTATATATATTAATAAATTTTATAATTATTCATTTAATTCTTTTTTTTTTTTTTTACCTCAGCAAATGGTGAATTTAAGATATTTGGATCTCTCCGGGTGTAACTATATAACAGAGATACCTGATGTATCTAGTGTCCCGAATTTAGAAGAAATGTCATTTCCAGGATGCATCAATTTGATCAAAATTCATGAATCGATTGGATTCTTGGATAAACTTAGAATCTTGAATGCTTTTGGTTGCAGATCTCTTAAGAGTTTTCCACCTATCAAGTTGACCTCTCTTCAAGAACTTCGTCTTTCATATTGCTCTAGTCTTGAGAGTTTTCCAGAAATATTAGGAGAGATGAAAAATATAACAGAGCTTTATTTGCATGGTACTTCCATAAAAGAATTGCCATTTTCAATTCGGAATCTTACTCGGCTACAAAAGATAGAACTGATCAATAACTTTGAACGGGTCCAGGTGGAAGTTCTAAGTCTCATTGTCGGGTTTCCAGAACTTGAGCAATTGACCGTTGAGGAATGTAAAGGGTTGCAATTTTCTAAACAGGATGATAGCAAAGAAAAAGTGAGCTCAAACGTGAAACTTTCATGGCTTCATCTCCGATGTTGCAAGATATCAGATGACTTCCTTCGAACAGGTCTCACTTGGTTTGCCAACATTAAAGAGTTAGACCTGTCTAACAATATTTTCACAATTCTTCCAGCATGCCTGAAGGAATGTCACTTTTTGAAGCAACTTTTTTTGAACAGGTGCATGCTTCTTCAAGAAATAAGAGGGATTCCACCCAACTTAGAAATATTCTTTGCAATAGGATGCATCTCATTGGAAGAATTGGACCTCAATGAATGTCGCTTTTTGAGGAATCTTATCTTGGATTATTGCAAGAATCTTCGAGATATTAGAGGAATTCTGCGGAACTTGGAATTTCTCTCTGCAATAGAATGCCCATCATTGACTTCCCAGTGTGCAAGCATGTTAATGAATGAGGTTCCTATTTTATTACATACCAGAGATAATGCAAGCATGTCTATATACAAGCCCAAAAGGTGAAATCATTGTTATTTGGGCCCAAACATTGTTGAAAATTTCAAACCTGATGGCTCTTGATGTAATATTTTAAGTACCTCTAAACTCTTTTTCCTCAAACTCATAACCTCCAATAAGAAGAACTAGAACAACGTAAGGAAGAAGACTCTGCTCGTGTCTCCATTCAACAAGAGAACCAAAGGCATGAAAACACACACCAAAAAAGTAAAAGTAAAATAAAAATGAAACAGTTTTTCAGGTTGTTCTCTGTTAGTCCTTGACGAAAGTTGCAATTTTTACAGCCGGATGATGAGGCGGACTTGGTGATGGCCCAAGTCCCTGATGGTCGAGTTACTAGAACTTTGTAAAAGAAATTCAAGGAAGGCTAATTCAATAAAATTAGGGTGAGGGCCAAAACATTGTATAGTGTTGTACTAAGATATCATGCCAACTTAATTTTACTCTGCATAGGTAGAGACAAAAGATGGATTTAAATTTTGCTTATGTGCTCATTTACTGCTTATTAGTACTTGATAGAAAATTACTACCTTAGTAAACATGCCAATTTGGTATCAAAGATGAGATGATCAAATATATGATATCTTCTTTAAAGGGAATTTCTACACGATTAAATATATGGTATCATATAAATCCTTTTCTACCTGAACATTCTGGATTTTTATTTTGTTTTTTTCAGTTCATCTTGGAATTTCTGTTACTCCGGTGTCCACTATAACTAATAAACCAGAACTGATTTTGGGCAAGTTGGAAGATATAAACTCTTTGGTATTTCTGTTGATGATTATATTTTTAACATGTGCATGCTTCTAATAGGTATCTTCTCCGGTGTGTTTGGACTTACATCTAACAGTTGCCGTCTGCTTTGCAGGTGTAGGCAAAGGCTTCTTTGATCCAACAAGACATGGATAAGTCATAATTGTTCTGCTATTCTAGTCAAAGATATTATGTATGATCACAACGATAAGAACCTTCCCCACAAAATGCCGTTTGATGTGTAGAGGACATACCTGAGGGAGAGAGCTTAGTTATGATTATATTTGCTGCAAGGGAAGAATTATCAAAGTTGGGTGTATCAGTTGCAACTGTGGTTCTCGACAACGCATTTTGCATACTTAAGTTCGAAGGTAAAGATTTTAAATGTTTTAAATCTTAAGTTCTTCATTTTGCTTATGGTGAAAGTTATGCTTATACTATCGTAACATATAAGGTGACAATTGTTATAATACAAAGTTGTCATTGATTCATTAATAGCCATAGCATGGGTCAATTATCTTGCTGCTTACTGAAGGATATCTACATTCATCCTTGTAATAGCTTCTCCTCCAATTGATCATCAATGGAAAGAAAGCTTTCCCAGTTATTGAAGCGTTTCCTTTTTTGTCCCTTAGCGGAAATGTTAATATAATATTTTTTTATCTAAAAGAGGCAGACTTGATTGGCTATATATGTGGATGCAGTACCTTTAGAAAATGAGTGGAATCCTGTGGTGTTTTCTAATGATTTTTTTCATCCTATTGAAAAAGATAAGCTTTTCATGTTACCATGGTGGGTGAATCTACAAATTGGACTCCATGTTTTCAAACAAACATGTAGCATGAAGGATATCCAATTCGACGACCCTAAAAGAAAAGCATAGAGTGGACGCAGTAGTTTCTCAGATTCGATTTATGCAGCACCAGCAAAATTTGGCTTCATTGGCTTTATTGGATCCACAGGTATAGGAAACAACACACACTTTGATATTGGAATTGAGTCCATATAAAATAATTGATGGCCAGACATGGAATTCTTTGATTTTGGAGTACTTCAAAGTTGCAAGCAGTGATTAAAGTGATGCTGTAATGCCATTTCTACCTTAATTACTTATATTAATTTTAATTGCTGTATTATCTTCTTGTCTTGCAGATGCCAATTCCAGCAGGAAATTTCTGTGTCCTTTAAGAGAAACACAAGAAGAATCCCTTGTTACATGTATCCATGAGTACCATGATAAAGACTCTGCCGTGTCTGCTTAGTGGTGATGGCAAGAGTGAGACCTGAGTGTGACTACTTGAGACTATTCTCAGAGCTGTGATGGTGGCTGGGTGGTGTGTCTGATTCAAGTCAAGCATATTAAATTTTATTTTATTTTCAAATTTTTTTTATTTAAGCATGATGACTGAATTACAACTTTTAATGTCAGTTTGAGGTTGTTATTTTATTTTTTTATACATGTGTCCTGGTCTGTCATTGCCAAATTTCTTATACAATGGTATTGTTTATCCCTTAATACTGAAGATTCCAAGATAAGCATAAGCATTCTGCCTAATGAATTATTTGCAACGTAGACTTATTGACTCTCAGATTGCTTATGAGTTATTTGTAACGTAGAATTAATGACTCTGTGAAATCCCCTGTGCTAGCATGTTATCCTTAATGATAAATAGGTTGATGATAATTAGAAAGTTGTTATATCACCACCAAGCATTTGAATCCACTGACTTGTAAGTTCGAGTCCGGTGTATATTTTTCTAAGAAGAATGTAGCTGACAACACAAAAAAAGTTCGATGCTTTACACCCACTGAAACTTCTCTGTCATCCAATGTGTTTGATTGCCTAGATAACCAAGAATATGAAAGCACATGGCAGAAAGAATGTGCACCATAATCTGATAGTGTGACTAATGTGAAGACAGAAAGAGGGTTGCAGAAGGAATCGTTTTCTTTTTGTTATCAACCTGGTATCATAAACACACCAGTACATAAGATCTGCCCTTTTCATTCTGAGAGTTAATATTAAAGTAGGCAGGAACTGCTGAGGAAAGTGTTAAATAGTTGTAAGGGCGAATTTATATTTGTTAGAGATATAAAACACATTGAATTTTCGGCTAATAATTTAAATTTTATGGATAGTTGGTCACTGATAAGACATTAGTGCATCCTTTACTACTTAGTATAAGTTTGGAGTTAGATCCTGGCCGTTTCCACTATTTTAACAAAAAGTTGAATTTAAGTACGATATATATGATCTTATACTTTGTTCATGGTTCAAGTGCAAAGGACTCTGAGAGATATATTAGAGATATATAAAACTGATCTTGAACCTTTGGCTAAGAACTTATACTTTTGGGTTGGTTATTGATAATTTCAATGGTGGTTGATTATATCAACTAAACTTTGGTGCCTAAAGTAAAACTAGAATATTTACAAATATCTTGAGGGATGAGCTACCCTCCCATAACCTTTTTTCTATAGTTTTCAAGCTACTATACGGTTAATTCCGGTTTATAATTTTCAACCTTTTTTGCTGTGGACTTTAGACGTATGCAATGTCGTAAACTGATTTCATTTCCTAACTATGGGAGCAAAATATTCTACTTGTTAGAGGTTTATTTTATTTTTTCAATGTTCTTGCATGTGCATGTCTATAAACTAGACATTATCAAAGCAGACATTCTGATCAGCAAAATTTTTAAGGAAATATAATTTCTCACGCTCATGCGCATATGCTGTACACGGAATTATGAATGGATAAAAATATCCATTGTCATTGACGGAGTATGATACAGACATTTCAATGAATAAATGTTTCGTGTTTAATTTTGTAGAAACAACCTTAATGTTAAACAATTTGTTTCCCTTAATGCATTTTTCGGCAACCTTTCTGACTAGACCAAATCCATCGATGACAAGGCCCATCTGTGCGACCATCGAAATGCACTTAATTGATGTTTTTAGTCGATGATTCCGTCGATAATTAAAACACGTTTAGAAATGTTGGCTTCAATTCATTTGTATACTTCCCATTCGTATCTTTCCACCATCTTCGTTTTGTTTTATGCTCAAACCATATCTTGTGTGCAATCATATTATCTTTGACAAGTCTTGTATGCAAAGTTTGATGCTCTTTGTTAGGTAAGGACTACTATTATGCTATAAACATGCTTAGAATGTTGGAAAATTGGGGTTTTTTTTTACTACTAGTGTGTGAAGATTTTGCATTAGGGATTTGCATTTACTGTTCAATTCATGTTATTTTTGGTTGAATTTGTTTTGATCTTTCTAGTGATTTATTCAGTGTTCTGATTGCATTATGAAAATGTATGATATTTATATAATTGGGATTTAGAGTTCAACATTTGAATTTTGGGGCAATGTATTGTTTAGCAATCGACTACATTTGTCTACAACATAGAAACCTTTGTCTACAACAGTGACAGTGACGAGGAAGAAGGCATGAGGATGACATAAGTGAGGCTAGCGAGATGGAGATGGACTGTGTTTATTGTTGAGGACATTAGTTGTTCGAAAACAAGGGTGGTACCAGCGATCCAAAGTGGCTTATGCATGGTGATCATAATTCAAATATGATTCTTGACCCATTTTGTGGTTCATCTGTCTAACGTGTGAATCAAGAGAAAACTAAGGTGTCCTTTTCGCGTAATGCGAACAACACTAAGGCAGGGGAACTAAGTCACAAATGGGATTTTCTCTGATATAAGAAATGAGAGGCAGTGAGGACCATTCGCCCACACTCAATCCTTATCGAGATTGCCTTATTGTCATCAATCCAACAAGTTCAGGGAAAAGAAAGCTCTCCAAAAGTCTTGATTCACTAAACTACATATAAGAAAAAAAAAAAAAAAAACTTCTTTCCTGTATTAATCACAATGAAAAGGATGGAATACTTCCTTTGTTGTTATCCAAGGAAAGGAAAAAATAAAAGCCCAAGATAAGAAATGAAAAGGAAGTTTTACAATGAATCCCACTTGATTTCTTTCGTGCATCCAATTTTTAGATAATCACTGTCTACTTTTAAATCCTAAACTAAAAGTTCTTAGATTTCTAGAATATTGTAAATAGGTTTTTCTTTTTTCCATGAGTTAAACAGAAGACATGCATAACGAATGTGTTAATACAGACGTCAACTTTTTCATTTGTCTAGGTTAATAATATGGGAAATATGTTTCTCGTGAAATAATTGACAATAGATATGAAACAAGAAGTCAATAGATATTTTTTTCTTCCTACTCTTAGCTGTAACTACTCTGTCACTTTCATTTTTGTTTGATTTTCGAGAACCAACGCTCCAAGAAGTCTCCAACCATTACCGTACTAATTGACAATACATATGAAATTAGAAGTGATCAATAGATATTTTTCTCTTCTACTCTCACTGTAAGTTGTAATCAATCTATCACTTTCATTTTTTTGTATGTGAACTTCCTTCTCATGTCGGATCAAGATCATTATCGTCTCCTTCACCTCCCTTCAAATTTATATAGACCTTTAAAACTAAGTATTATTTATAATATTTTAATTATATATATGAAAAGCTCGCCACCTTTCCAACTTTTAGAGTTCTTCAGTTTTAAGTATTATTTTCATTTTTTATTATATAAATAGTTATAATTTCATCACTATGAATTTTTTTCTTCTGATTATGTGGTGCCTAAAACTATATTTTATATTTTACTAAAAACAATATTCTATTTATTTAATTGTTTACAATATTCATAGTTGAAAAATATTTATCATTTTAAGGTTACATTTGTAAATCATTTCATTTTTTTTTAATATATATTTATTGATTTTTTAGATTCCTCTGTTTCATAACACTTTCTTTTTTCTTCTCCTAGTTTTTCCGAAGGAAAAAAAATATAAAAGTTCAACAAAAATACAACAAAATACGGTAATTTCTTTTATAATAATGATACAAAAGTATGTGAACACTTTTACCTTTATTTTATGAGATAGGATATTTTAGTATTAATTTTTACTATTATTACTCTGATCATCATTAGATTAGAAAAAAAAAATTGAATGAAAAAAAGAAAATAAAAACATCATAGAGAAAATAAAAACAATTTTTGAATCCAATAATAAATAAAGTGATAATAGAAAAAAGAGAAAGATTATATTACAATTTTTTTTTTACAACTTCTTACAACCATATTTTATTATTGTTGATTTTTGTTAATCAACGATTATCATTTATGGTGAATTAATAATTAATTAATAAATTTAATTTGCTAAAATGATAACAATTGATTAGCGAAAATCAACAATAATAAAATATAATTGTAAGAGGTGATAAGAAAAAAAAAAAAAGTTATAAGTAACGACCTATAAAAAATTGATAGTAACTCTTATTTTATATCATTTATAGTTGCTGGTTATTGTTTGCTAGTCTTCTGGTCTTCAAACACTTCATCCATACACCAACCTCACACTCATACTAACCTTTCTTCGATCTTATGGCGGTGCCACCATCCTCCTCCTCTTCCTTCACCTACGATGTGTTCCTCAGTTTCCGAGGCCCAGATACTCGCCACGGTTTTACTGGCTATCTCTATAATGCTCTTCTTAACAGTGGAATCCACACCTTCATTGATGACGAGAAGCTTCAGAAAGGGGACGAAATCACACCATCACTTCTCAAGGCTATTCAACAGTCCAGGATTGCCATCATTATCCTCTCTAAGCTCTATGCCTCTTCTTCATTTTGCTTGGATGAACTTTCCAACATCATTCACTTCATTAACGGAAAGGGTAGGTTGGTTTTGCCTGTTTTCTATGACGTGGATCCTTCTGATGTGCGATATCAGAGAGGTAGTTACGGAGAAGCACTGGCTAAACATAAGGAGAGGTTCAAGGATAACATGCAGAGGTTGCATAGATGGACAACGGCTTTGGAGCAAGTGGCTAACTTGTCTGGTTTTCATTTCAAACATGGGTACCCCTTCTCACCAATCTTTTACCTTTTTTATTAATTTTCGTTTGTCAAATGATTTAGAGTTGAAATTTAAAGGGGAAAGAAATACTCGTTAACCTTAAAAATGTTAAATCATTCTATATCAAACACTTTGAATTTTAATAAGGTATTCAATTTGACTACACACAAACTTCTCTGCTTGAATAGGGATGGATATGAGTACGAGTTTATTGGGAGGATTGTCAAAGAGATTTCCGGCAAGATTAATCGTGCTCCTTTACATGTTGAGGATCACCCTGTTGGACTAGAGTCTAGATTGTTAGAAGTAAAGGCGCTTCTAGATCTTGGATCAGATGATGGAGTCCACATGGTAGGGATATATGGTATTGGCGGAATCGGTAAAACGACAATTGCTCGAGCAGTTTATAATTTGATTGCTGACCAATTTGATAATTTGTGTTTTCTTCATGACGTGAGAGAAAATTCAATAAAACATGGCTTGCAACATCTTCAAGAGATGCTCCTTTCTAAAATTGTTGGATTAAACATTAAGTTAGGAGATGTCAACGAAGGAATTCCAATAATACAACAAAGATTATGTCGAGAGAAGGTTCTTTTGATTCTTGATGATGTTGACACATTGAAGCAGTTACAGGCTATGATAGGAAGACCGGACTGGTTTGGTCCGGGCAGCAGAATCATCATCACGACTAGGGACAAAAAGGTCCTAGCATGTCACGAGGTTATAAGAACATATGAGGTGAAGGAGTTGAATGAGAAAGATGCTCTTGAATTGCTTAGATGGAAAGCTTTTAAAAATAACAAAGTTAGTCCATGTTACTTGGATGTTTTAAATCGTGCAGTAACTTATGCTTTTGGCCTTCCATTGGCTTTGGAAGTAATAGGTTCCAACTTGTTTGGAAAAAGTGTAAAAGAATGGAAGTCTGCATTGGATAGGTATGAAAGGATTCCTAATGAAGAGATCCAAAAGATACTTAAGGTAAGCTTTGATGCTTTAGAGGAAGATGAGCAGAGTGTTTTTCTTGATATCGCTTGTTGCTTTAAGGGGTATCCATTGGTGGAGGTTGAAGATATACTTCATGCTCATCATGGTGACTGCATGACATATCACATAGGAGTGTTGGTTGAAAAATGTCTCATAAAGATTAGTTCTTGTGGTGAGTTGACACTACATGACTTGATAGAGGATATGGGTAAAGAAATTGTCCGAAAGGAGTCAGCAAAAGAGCCTGGGAAACGCAGTAGACTATGGTTCCATGAAGATATAGTTCAAGTTTTTGAAGACAATACAGTGAGTAAGACTAATGTTGTTGGTTTGTTTTTCATCTTGAACCTTGATATATCATTATTATATGCGCATGACAAATAATTTATTCCTTTTGTTTCCAATCTTTTGTTGATGGTATTAACTCACAGTTTCTTCCCTTTATTAAAGTAAATTTCTCTAAATATGTGTCGATGTCCTAACACGACCTAACACACACATATGTTTTGTGGCTGACTGATGTTTTTTGTTTTCAAAAGGGAACTAGTAATATTGAAATGATATATCTGCACTTCCCAAAATTTGAAGAAGTAGTGAAGTGGGATGGAAAGGCCTTCAAGAAGATGACAAACCTAAAAACACTTATTATTAAAAATGGTCATTTTTCGGAAGCTCCTAAACAATTTCCAAAGTGTTTAAGAGTGCTGGAATGGTGGCGGTTTCCTTCACAGTCTTTACCATCTAATTTGCATCCAACAAATCTTGCCATATTCAGGTTACCAGGAAGTTCCTTAATGTTACTTGAGTTGGCCAAGTTTTTGAAGGCAAGTATAATTGGTTATTTTCTCTGATATATTTTAAGATTTTTCATTTGATTCTTATTTCATCTTTTCTTTTTTCTTTTTCCCCAGAAGTTCATGAATATAAGAGTTTTGGATTTCAGCAAGTGTGAATGTATAACAGAGATACCTGATGTATCTGGTGTCCCAAATTTAGAAAAAATATCAGTTAAGGAATGTGTGAATTTAACTAAAGTTCATGAATCAGTTGGATTCCTAGATAAACTCAAATTCTTAAATGCTTTTGGTTGCCGCAAGCTTAGGAGTTTCCCACCTATCAAGTTGACCTCTCTTAAAGAATTGGAACTTTCATATTGCTCGAGTCTTGAGATTTTTCCAGAAATATTAGGAGAGATGGAAAATGTTACAGAGCTTTATTTGGTGGGAACTCCCATAAAAAGATTGCCTTTTTCAATTCGATATCTTACACGGCTACAAGAGATAGAACTGCATTCATGTGTATGGGTTCAGATAGAACTTCCAAGTAGCATTGTCATGTTATCAGAACTTGAGCGGTTGTGTTTTGGGACATGTGATGGGTTGCATTTATCTAAACAAGATGAAGGTGAAGAAAAAGTGAGCTCAAACATGGAACGTCTTCATCTCCAAGACTGCAACATATCAGATGAATTCCTTAGAATAGGTCTCACTTGTTTTGCCAATGTGAAACAGTTAGACCTGTCTGACAATAGTTTCACAATTCTTCCGGCGTGCATCAAAGAATGTCGCTTTTTGAGGGAACTTAATTTAAATAGATGCAGGCTTCTTCAAGAAATCAGAGGGATTCCACCCAACTTGGAATTATTCCGTGCACAATATTGTACATGTAACACCCCGTTCTAGAACCGGATTGTTATCATTGCGTACGGCATTAAGCGCAGTTACAATCACATTGGTTCAATTAGAAAACTGGATAAATTTTTCCTCTTTATACAAGCCGGATTCAAATAACCAAGTGCGTGATCATAACTATATATACTTCGCGGAATAGTGGGACAAAACTTAAGATTATATTCCCATTATACTTGACAATACGTCGTGAAATGTCTTCATCACTTTACTTATCAAATTAATTCTAAACTCCTTTTACGATTCCCATCTTCTACTATGTTATATTATTTTTCATAGCTACGCGTGGGTTCAAACCGCGCTCAAATCGGAGCACCGTAGCCAAAGTTATGCACTTTTTAAGAAAAGGGTGCGAAACCTCCAGAACCCCCGCGCCCGCAGCGTGAGATCCACGCTCAGAGCGTGGGAAAACAGAAAGTTGGCGCCCCAAGCGTGAATCTGGCGCCCCAAGCGTGGATGCTACTGTCTGATCTCGTAATTTGGCGCCCCAAGCGTGAATTTGGCGCCCCAGGCGCCATCCACAGGGCTGGGTGACCCAAAACAAGGTCATTTAACCTACCTATAGTTTTCCACTCATAACTTGAGCTATACTCACTCAAATTACACCATTTTGGTCTCTATGGAAAGCTAAGAGAAATGTATACAACTTCCATAGAGACATCAAAGTCCAATTCCATCACATTGGGTATGAAAATTGGTCAAACGGACAGGATGTATTTGTTTTCTCAACATTTCCCAATTTAGCACTAGGTACCTAATTTAGTTTCCAGTTCAACAATCCAATACTTAATGAACATACATATATTAAACTCAAAGTACTCATCAATTACACATCATGTTCATTACAATTCATGGAACTTAGCTAACAAAACACTATGATCATTCCCTTGGCTCTTATCAACAAAAGAGATGACCAAAGGCATGAGCATAGGCTAAGTCCATTCCAATATACAATTCATACATCTATCAATGGTCTATGAATTACAATCCTATACATGTGAGCTACAAAACAACATGTACAATCTCAAAAGAAATGCCACATTTCATGCATAATCCAGATATGGCCACTTGCCACCAAAGGCTCCTGCAGCATCCTTACCTGAAAGGGGGTCCCCACAACACGGGGTGAGATATACGAATATATCCAGTAAACCAGGGGTCCTTGGAGTATCTCTCCACCCCACAGTTCCATATCAGTGTAATAGCAATAACTATAATAATGCAGTAAATACATATCTATGCAAAGTGCAATACATCTCTAGGAGAAATCCCTCGAGCTCTCAAGCTGTCCTAAGGAAACTCAGATGCAAATAGTCCTACTGGCCAGCTAACTACCAAGTATGATTTACGCATCGTCATGCAACATACCAACATAGGGAAACACCATCCTATGCCACACCAAATGCATACACATACGTATAACAAAGCATTACACTATTTTATTGCATTTATATACACAATCACAACCTCTACCCTTTCAGGGCTTGGTGGAACAGTCAAGGGAATTACACCCAAGGTCCGAAGGCTTACCTCAAGCTTTAGCCAACCTTTGTTCCCACCAACAGTTTCTGCAACCAGTTACAATTATCCACTCACCAAACAAAACCTACACAAGGTTTTATGCAATTAACACATATTGCATCCAATCACATCTCATAGCTATCAACCAAGCTATACAATTCATATCAAACATAAGCATGAACTTACCTATCCAATGGAGCTAATCAAGCTCCATAGCTTGCTCCAATGGTTGGTCTCTCAAGGTTGGTCCAATTGCCTCAATCCTAGACAACACCAAGGCATAATCAACAACCAACCAAACCATTTATTAACAAAGCAAGAAATCTAATCTCTAAGTGTCATATTCTTGCCATTTTCCAAATATACTCACTTAGCTATCTAAGCTCATTTTCACCGATTAAATGTCGTTCCTAGCATTTTTCACAACATGCTCTAAGCTCCATTCTTCCTAGAACATAGCTAATTTAACAACATTTCATCAAAAACCCTAAAACACTATTCATAAACCCCAACTCATGCAAATTTCAAGGAATCATGAGGTTCAAGGGTTAGAATCTTACCACCAATGGTCACACAACCAAGGATTGATGGCTCCTCAAGCTTCAATGGAGGTTGAAGCACTCAAAACCCCAAATTTCTCCAAAGGGCCGAATTTTTGAGGAGCAATATCCCTCTCCACAATGCTCCCCACTCAAAACCAAGCTAGGATTATGAAAGAGGGGAAGATTTGGAGTGGTTTAGGCTTTGGAATCACTCAAAATGGTTGAGATTAGCTCTCTCTCTCTCTCTCTCTCTTCCTCCCTTTCCCTCCTTCTCCTTCTTCTTCCTTTCTTCTTTTCTCTGATGCTGGCGACGGGAAAATGGGGTGGGAAATGGGTTTCTATTTGCTTTGGCCACTTAACATTAGTTAAGTGGAATCAAGTGGGTATTGGTTCGTCTATCTATTTAACTCCAATAATTACCAGACTTTACCCAAAAGTCTGGAATATTATTCTAGGAATATTTATAATTTTATTTTTATATTTTGGGCACTTTTGCCAGTACCCATTTATACTCCTTAATTTTCGCTGAGTACACTTTTTAACTCCAAAGTGACTCAGATTCATTTCATTAAGCCTTATACTTAATTTTACTCACTAAAACATGCTTAATTATTTAATTACTTGTAATTTACTAATTAATTAGGTTAGGGATATTATATTCACCCCACCTTTTAGCGATTTTGTCCGCAAAATCAGGAACATACCTATTCCTGAACTCGGGCTTCCGCTAGAGAACTCGTTCTCCCCGTTACCAACTGGACAGGTCAGGCCTTCTGCCTTCCCACTGCATCTCGACCATCAAAATGGTTTTATCTCTATACTTATACACACGTTGCCATTAGGTGCAAGCCTTTGAGCTTATAAGTAGTGCTCGATCTCCTCAAGCCTAGTTATTTTATCCCTACCAGGTCTATATCCTTCGTTCTGGTATGAAACCATAAAACATCATGGTCTTACCTCATCAACATTTATTCAATTTTAATAATGTTACTTTCAAACTCCTCATCTTTAAGACAATCCTAAGATCATCACCAATCTCCATATTGTGTGCTAACCCTTTCGTTAGGCACACAGTCTTTTACAGACTATTTTCTCAATGATCCATTATCATTACAAGGCTGTTTATAATAAATCTCACAAAATTTTCTATTTCGTGAACTAGTCTTTTCATTACAACTTTGAACCCGTTCTAAGTTTTCGATCTAATATTAGCCATTTTTCTAATATTACTGTCCACATGTGCTTTAGTACATCAGCCTTCTCACTGATAATATCCTATCCTATTTAATTGTACATCAGTTTTGTCACTGATGATACCATTCCATTGAAACATCAGTGCATCAGTCCTTCCACTGATAATACCAACTACATTTGTAATAGACCATCAGTCCTTTCACCGATGACCCTATCAGTCTTTACACTGATAATACAATCCTTACCTAAACTTTTAATTAGATATTAGTCCTTTCACTAATATCATGCACCAATCCTTTCACTAGCATGCACATCAGTTCTTCCACTGATGATTTTATCAGTCCTTTCACTGATTTCACATATCAGTCCTTTCACTGATGATTTTATCAGTCCTTTCACTGATTTCACATATCAGTCCTTTCACTGATGATTTTATCAGTCCTTTCACTGATTTCACATATCAGTCCTTTCACTGACATGGCACACCAGTCCTTTCACTGATGATTTTATCAGTCCTTTCACTGACATGGCACACCAGTCCTTTCACTGATGACTTGTTTTCATCATTCAATGGTACATTAGCCCTTTCACTAACCATACCATCTTCACTCTCACTTCATGACTTACTTTTTAAGGAATTATTCCTTTTTAAAAACAAATTTTTTATCTGGGTGCTTCCAAGAGTCACTACTCTTAGGAATTATTCCATTAAGAAAGCCCCGTATCCACTTATTCTCCTATTTAGAGAATTTCTTCGCTAATAATTCACATCCATCTTAAATGCAATTTCATATAACATAAACTCACAAGAACAATCATTTTCACACCCTCATGCAATAGTCTTTTATTCTTTGCCTCAATACATTAACATACAATCAGGCATAACTATGCATGTTATCAGACTACTTTTCTTTGTTATACCTTCACCTCCTAATGGTTTTTAGCCGTAAGCTAAACCTAGAGGTTTACAGTTTGGTTCATAATTCTAGCTTTCCATTTCATTAATTCTTTTGTTAACTTTAACTTTTGTGGTTATAGAGCCTACGCTCCACTTGATCAGACTAACGTCAAATCTGTCAATTCAACACAATGTTCACTCTCACAGACATTGCATGCATCATCAAGAATACATCACTCACATGCATGCATTACACTTTATGCAACAACATGTCTATCATCATTACACTGGGTGGACAATTCACAAGAAAGAAATTTTCAAATCATACCTTCAACTTGCCTGAGAGTTCCTCCCCATCATGTGGCTCTAAGGTATAATCTTGACCTCCTACTCGAGATCCAACAATTGCGTGTACATTTGAAATCCGATCAGTCCTAGTAGGACATACATTAGCAAAGTGACCCAGTTGGCCACATTTGAAGCACGACTTTGTTTCGTACCAACATGTGCCTCTATGTGTCTTCCCGCAGGTGTCACATTTAGACAATTTCTTCTTTTTCCATTCTTGTCATCTATTTTCTTAT